TGTTTCTTTCTGGTGTACGTGGGGTGCTGATGACTTGGAACCATCTGGATGGCACTGAACAACATATAAAACAAAGGAGCCCCGTATGTACGTGTACATGCACATACACACATACACATACACAGAGGGTCCTTGGGTGGCACAAATGATTTGTGCTTGACTATAACCTAAAGGGTGACAATTTAAACCACCCAGCAGTACCACAAAAGAAAGGCCTGGCAATCTAATTCTGTGAAGATTACTGCCAACAAAACCCTATGGGGCAGTTAGTTATAGTCTGTAACACATGGGTCGTCATGAGTCAGAATCAACTCTACAGCAACAGATTTGTTATTGAAAATTATTGAAATTATTGAAAATAATTTCATGTATATATGTATGTGTATGTATTTGTGTGTGTGTGTGTGTGTAGTAGTGATTAAGGATGGATAAAACAATAATCTCTGCTGTTCATATGTAAATAAAAAAATAAGTAAAACAGAGGCCTCCCTGGGTGCAAATGGTTAATGCACACAGTGCTAACCAAAACGTTGGAGGTTCAAGGCCACTTGGAGGTGCCTTGGAAGAAAGACCTAGTGACCTATTTCCAAAAGTCCACCCACTGAAAATCCTACAGAGCAGCTTTACTATGACAACCACAGGGTCACCAGAAGCTGTAGATGATGCAACGGCAACTAGTTGATGGAAAACACAATGAAAGTTAAATACTTAATTTGAATATTCAAGTCCAGTTAAGATTTGGAAAGCTCACCCTGTTATTACAAACTACCGTACTCTACATAAAATGGATTCTTTGCGCAAGGGAACAATCAGTCCTAGCGACTGGTATACCATGAGATCCTCAGCCTATACAACTATGAAACCAGAAGAACTAGATGGTGCCTGGCTACTACCACTGTCAACCACTCAGAGGGGGATCTATGTAGTAGACCCTGGATAGAGTGGGAGAACAACGTGGAACAAAACTCAAAATCATTGAAAAAAAAAAAGGGGGGGGACCAGGTTTGCTGATCTGATAGAGCCTGGTGGAACCACTGACACTATGGCCCCTAGCTGCCCTTCAGGTCTGGAATTGAACCCGCTCCTGTGGCTTCCAGCCAAACAGAAGACAGGCATAGGAGCTGAATATTTACATTAGGCGGATACACTCCTTGGAGTGAGCAATCATGGGAGAATAGAAGGGCTGTGTGTGCACAGGGAGACAGCTCGGGGGGCAGGAGTGCATAGGAGGGAAGGACACAGGGAAGAGGTAACTGTCGGGAGGGAGTGGGAGGGGAGCTGTTGCACTGTGGGAAGTTGTAGTCCATGTCATGAGACAAAGTGTATGTGAGCTACTGTACAGAAAGTAAATTTGCTCTGTAAACTTTCACCCAAATCACAATTTAAAAAAAGAAGGATCCCTTGCAGTCGCTGGTGTCCTAGAGCCACTTGCACAGGGCAGTTTACCAACTCTGATCCCAGAGGGTGTCACTTAGCATAGCGGTGAGGGGCACACACGCTGGGAGGGGCAGGCAGGAATGCCAAGTCTTGCTGAAGCTAGATTTGGGTCGGTAGAGAAAGGGCCTATCTGTTAAGCTTAAATAGAACGATACCAAGTTAGCTACCTGGGTTGTAGGACCCCCATAGAGAGGTCCAAGAGAGGAACCAAAGAATTAACCACAAAGGGTTTAATGAGGCTGCCCCACATGTGACTGTCCCGTGCAGAAGCTGAACACAGAGTCCCCCTCAGGTATTTGGTGGGGGGTCAGGGATGGGGTGTAAACGGTGGAGCCCCTGCCATCTGCCTCCTGCGCAGGCTGACGGGAGGCTCTAGCTGCGTGCCTACCTTCTTCACCGACAGGTCCAGGTCGCTCCCTGAGTCCTCCTCGGCCTGCTGCTGCTCCTGCAGGTCCTTCATCTTGATCAGCAGCTCCGCCTTGGGGGCCGATGTGCTGTAGTACGTGGAGTTGGTTGTCAGGGACATGGCCGTTGCTACGCCCGGCTCCTCTTTCCTGGGGGAATGTCAGAATGGTAAACGTTGAGGGCCTGAGTGTGGTCGTGTCCTGCAGCCCCTTCCCTCGGGTGGGACAAGTAAGTGGTAGCTCTAATGCAAGGACACCCGTCAGAGAGACAAGACAGTAAGAGGGAAAAGGGAGGTGACAACGTTAGATGTCCAAAGGCCTTGG